TGAAATAAAATAAAAAGAAAAATTAATTGCCCTTCCCCGGCAACAGCGCCAAATTTGACGAGCACTTTGTCACGGTGCGTCAAAATAATTTTCAATACTAAACACTTATACGTAGTATAGCGTAGTAGAGTTCGTATCCACACGGAAAGGAATAATTCTCTTTTTATGATACTTAGTAAATAAAAAGGGGGTATTTGAATTAAGTGATTTAATTTAATTAAGAACTAAGATGAACAACCTATATGTGTTTAATTCAAAGATAAAAAGGACTTGGCATTGCTACTTTCCACTTGTTGATATATTTTAGTCGATCATTGTTATATCTATAAATTATTCCCTCTCGAATACTCAATCGGGGAGTATATCCACTTCATCGAGGGTAGTTATTAACAACAACCGTTCATTAATAACCCTTACTATTAATCAAATATAGAACAACGTCTTATACCAATTTAATAGTAGCATTTAATCTTTCTAACTCCTTGATGAAAACAATTGAGATTGATAACCTCAACACAACGGTTTCGGTTTAACCAACAAAATTAATCCCTCTTAAGTTTATTAACCACGACCGTGCATTAATAAACCGAAGTTACTTACTTGTGAAACCATCAACGATTAACCATCGGTTCGTTGATCGCTTCTAGTAATAATTAATATATGAAACAAAACTAGTTGATCTTTTAAGTAATGTTCAAAATATTAATATGAAATATGAGTAGGGATTAATTAATATTCAAGGAAGAATATTATTAAAGAAGATGAATCCTACTATAATTAATATCAAGATGTTAACTAATTGTCATCTTAGCAACACTCCTCAATATTAATATAGAGGAAGAAAATACCATTCTAACTAATGTCGAGATGTTAACTAATTGTCATCTTAGCAACACTCCCCAACATTAATATAGAGATGGTATTAAGGAAAGAACTATTAATTAATATTCAAGGAAAGAAGTTAAGAAAATAACTCACAACTTTAATAATCAACAAGCTTCAAGAGCAACACCAAGAATGGAAGTTTAGCTCCTCATTTGGAGGCTAAACATAGCTAGAAAAATATAAAGAAATGCTATTCTAAACTGAGCTAAAGAGAATGGACGAAGGGATCATTTTTAGAGGAGAAAAAGAGTGCTATTTATAGGTGTTTTTCAACACCTTTGGCCGGGTACTCGACCGGGTATAGGTACATACCCGATCGGGTACCGGTCAAAATCAGATAATCTCCCACGTTTCTTTGCTCTAGCACGTTAATTTGTCCCGGGTCAAGTCAGACCCGACCGGGTTAAGTGAGGGACCCGACCGGGTTTGGTCTAAATCAGATTTTTTTCCAAATCTTTGTGATCTGCAGCATGTTCTGGTGTTCCGGGTCATATCTGACCCGACCGGGTCGGGTAAGGGACCTGACCGGGTCTTACTTTTTTTCTTCTTAGATATGTTCTTCAACTGACCCGACCGGGTTCAAGGTCTGACCCGGTCGGGTTTTTGTGCTCCTGGGTCTTTTTGTCTTCAGTTTTTCTCCCCTTTTCCTTGCTACAAACTCTATCACAATTCTATAACTACGAAAAGAAGGAGAAAGCAATTACAAACAAAATAAAACAAGTACTTACAAACTAACTAAAAGCGATGGAAAATCCACACCCAATCAACATAAAAACATACATTTATGCACTACAAACTAGTGCATATCAATGACTGAGGCGAGCTTTTTCAAAACCATAGTTCCGATTCCCCGGGCGACAATCCGTACCTTATCCGAACGTCGCTCGGTTAATCCATATCTTACAGTCTTGACACCATCTCCAAACCGTTTTGATCCTTTTGCCCGTACGTAATTACAGGGTCGACTTTGGCTAAGTTGACGACTCAGCTCCCTCCAAACTGTTAACCCGTTCGTCATTCGGTCATCCGGAATGATTTTGCGTGTTAAAAAGCTGAGGTGAGAATCACTGTCCTCGAACTCCAGGCCGTTTTGATCCCTTCATCAATGCGTAATAACAGGGTCAAAACTCTTGCTGAAATAATGGCTCCCTCCAAACTGCTAATATGTTCATCATTCGGTTCTCCAGAATCGATTCTCATATTAACCGCTGAGGTGAGACTATCTGAGTGTCAAACTCCAAGCCATTGGCTGAGAATGACTTTCCTTCCATGCTGTTAACTCGTTTGTCATTCGGTCACCCGGAATGATCGTGTTAACCACGGGCACCGATTTTCTGAGCCTCAATTCTTCAAGCCGTTTTTGATCCCTTTATTCGTTCATAAATCTAGGGTCAAAAACTCCCTTAGCTGAGAATGATTTTCATTCCATGTTGTTAACCCGTTCCTCATTCGGTCATCCAGAATGATCGTGTTAACCATGGGCTGTGTTTATGTGGAAGTTATGTCTCCCTCTCTCTACTTTTTTTGTTTTGTTTTTTTAGAGGTGGCAACAGCCGTTTTTACTGATAAAATTTCCTTAGATGTTCCACATTCCAAGTACCTGTCGGTCGGCCTTCGGTATTTTGTAGGCCAAACGTTCCTGAAGCATACTTCTTACATATTTGGTAGGGGCCTTCCCAATTTTGTGCCATTTTTTCACCTTCAAGGGGTTTGCTTTTTTCTCGCTTCCTTACCACCAGGTCCCCTACTTCGATTGAACGAACTTTCACTTGTTTATCAAAGTATCTTCTTGTAGCTCTGTGATACTCTTCCATTCGTGCAGCTGCCAGATCCCTTCTTTCTTCTATGAAATGCAATTCGGCCCGTAAGTTGTCCTCGTTCTGTTCTGGGCTGTAATGCACCGTTCGGTGTGTGGGAACTAGGATCTCTGTTGGTACTTTGGCCTGGAAACCATAAGCGAGGGCAAATGGAGTTTCTCCCGTGGCCGTTCGGGGTGTAGTCCTGTAAGTCCACAAAATATAATTTAACTGATCAGGCCACGATGAGGAGTATTCTTCTAGTTTTTTTTCATACCATCCATGATAGTACGGTTCATATTCTCTACTTGGCCATTCGCCTGAGGGTACGCCACGGATGCTCTGGAATGCTTGATTCCCCATTTCACCAGGTAGTTCTAAAAATTCCGGCTCACGAACTGCCTTCCATTATCAGTTACAATCTGCTCAGGGATTCCGAAACGACAAATGATATTCTTCCAGACAAAATTTTGACATTTAACATCTGTGATGCTGGCCAGTGGCTCGGCCTCTACCCATTTGGTAAAGTAATCTATCCCCACGATGATATATGGTGCCAGACGTTTAATGGCAGCTATCAGGGCCAGCACAGTTTTTTCTAGCAAGGTGTACCTGGTTTCCGGGCCGTTCAAAGCCATGCTTACAAAATAGATTGGCCGTTGAACGCCATCTTCTTCTTTCAACAGTCTGTGCTCACGGCCAGGTCAGCTACAGCAAGGTACATATATAGATGTTCCCCCGGTTCGGGTTTTGTTAAGACCAGGGGGGAAGACAGGTATGTCTTGAAATCTTCAAAGGCCGTTTGGCATTCGGCCGTCCATTCAAAGGGGTTGGCTTTCTTCATGATCTGGAAAAATGGAATTGCCCGATCGGCTAGTTTGGATAGGAATCTGCTCAGGGCTGGTAACCGACCAGTCAATCTCTGCACTTCTTTGAGATTCCTTGGAGCCTCCATATCCACAATTGCCTTTACCTTTTCAGGATTGGGCTCAATCCCCTTCTCGCTCATCATGTATCCCAACAATTTGCCCCCTCTTACAGCAAAAGCACATTTTTCGGGATTCAACATCATGTTTGCTTTCTGCATTATCCCGAACACCTTTTCTATGTCCAGGACATGATTTTCCTTCTTCCTTCTTTTGATCAGAATATCATCAACATAATCTTCCATTGTCACCCCCAGTACTTCTTTGAATAGCATCCCGATCATCCTTTGAAAAGTTGCAATTGCGTTCTTTAATCCGAATGGCATGACGATATAGCAAAACACACCATCCGAAGTAACGAACGCCGTTTTCTCTGCATCAGCCGGGTGCATGAATATCTGATGGTAACCCCGGAAAGCATCCATGAAGCTCAGCAATTCACATCCGGCAGTTTCATCTACTAACAGATCGATCCTCAGCACTGGATAGGGATCCATGGGGCAAGCTTTATTTAGGTCCGAGTAATCCACGCACATTCTCCAAGTAGATTGTTTTGGGGCCAGAACCACATTTGATAGCCATTCTACGTGGATTACTGGACGGATGTGCTTTATCTTCAGCAAGGTGGCCACCTCCCGCTTTGTGAATTCCCGCCGTTCGGTTGCTTGGTACCGTTTCTTCTGCTGGACTGGTTTTGCATCAGGCCGAATGGCAAGTTTGTGACATATTATCTCCAGATCAATACCGGGCATATCTTTTGGCCCCCGGGCAAACAATACCTGAAACCTTTTTAGGACGGCAATACCCCGATAGCTACCTTACGGTTCGGGGTGGGGGGGATCCAAGTCGATTTGTTCAAGAAGAGTGGCGGGTTCTGGGTGTGCCTCGAACTCCGTTCGGTGGGTTTCCACCTCAATTGTATTAACCCGCATCCCACGAGTGTTCATCTGTTTCAGGGCCTCTCGATAACATGTCCGGGCTGTCGTCGGATCAGTTCTGGCCACCCCAACCCCAGTGTCTGTAGGGAATTTGATGCATGAGTGGCGGACAGAGGCTATTGCCTCCAGATCTTCCAATCCTGGTCGGCCTAATATGGCATTGTGGGCACACTTTATATCCACCACCACAAACGTCATTCGGAGTGACGCTTTGTGTGTTTCATCTAGGGGTGGGATCGGGATGATCCCGATCCTGATTGCCAAAATCCCGATCCCGTCCCGATCCCGATTTGAAATAAAAAATGATCCCGAGTCCCGTCCTGATATAGTCGGGATCCCGACAATAAAATCCCGATTAAGTCGGGATCCTGATCGGGATACCCGATAAATCCCGACACATAGTTATCAAATATAAATATACAATGATAATTCATCAAGCAAATTCAAACTAATGATGGCAGCACAATTTCAATTCTAAATAAAACATACAACATAGTAATATAGAAATTCAATGATTTAAAATTACATATAGTTAGCAGCAAAAATATTTTTATCAAACGAGTTGAGCATTGCTTGTAGGAGTTCTAGAGTCTTGTCTGACTTCTGGGCAGAGAAGAGCCTCGACCCCTCGTCATAGAAGTTCCTCGACCTCTCGGCAAAGAAGTTCCTCGACCTCTCGGCAAAGAAGTGCCTCGACCTCTCGATCTAGGAACACTATCACCTCTTGGCATAGCAGTAGGATTTCCCCTACCTCTACCTTGGACACCGTAGTTACTGGCATTCACACTTGAGTTTATCGAAGTAGAACTAGATTGAGATGAGTTTATTGTGATAGCCGGAACAACAGGAGCCACTTGAAGAGAAGTAGCAGGACCCATTTGAATATTTTGCCAATCTACATGAACAAATTGTCATACGAATTACAGTATTACACATTATAGCACAGTTATAACATTATAAAATTGTTATAGAATATATATAGTGAAACAAAAAATGTAGAACCGAACTAATAACAAAAAGTGCAGGCACAAAATGCAGAACTGAAATAATATCAAAAATAATTTGAGCATCTTACTTGCTTCAATTTCTTCCAGGTCCTTGTAAAATTCAACTTCATCATCGCTTGGTTCTTTGTAAAATGAAAAAGCTTCAGCCCTTAACCAATCACTAGTACATACTAGTGCCTCCACCATTCTTGGAGTCAATGATGCTCTAAATGGATCCACAACTCTTCTACCAAGGCTAAATGCATTTTCGCTTGCAACGGTGGAAGATGGTATTGCAAATATATCTTTTGCAATCTTGGACAGTATAGGGTATCTAGGGGCATTTACCTTCCACCACTCAAGGAGATTAAATGTTGAGTTCTTAGCACTTTCAAAAGGACCGGCAAAATAAGAATCAACTTCATTTGATATCTCAGACAAAGATTTTTCAGCCCTTTCTCTCTCAAGTTGGTCCAAAATGTCGTCTTCATCCTCTTTGTCAACATCAGCTATGATTAAATCACTTTGTTCTGCATGCTCCATTGAACTAGTTCCCTTGTACTCACCATACAAATAGTTCAAGCAGTTTTTCACTTCAGTCACCATATATTCAATTACGTCAGCCTTCGTTTCAATAATGGTGTGTTGTTTCCTCAAGAGTTGAAGCTTAAATCTTGGGTCAAGTACATTAGCCACATAGATAAGTTTATTCACACTACCAAAACACCCCCAGTACTTGACAAACTTAGTACTCATACTAATTGCTACTTTTTGTAAAGTAGGATTAGATGCATCTTTCTTCTTGTAAAAAATTGCCCTTTCCACGGCAAACATTTCTTTTAAGATCAAACTTGAAGTAGAACACTTACTTGCACTAAGAACCAAAGTAGTATCATAAAACTTCTTTAAAAAATGTGTAAAGGAAACTGCTTGTTCCCAATCTTCATCAACGGGCGGCCCCACTCTTTTCTCCTTCAGCTTTTTTCCCTCTTTCCAAACCATCTCATTAAAATAGTCTATGAAACTCACTTCTTCTTTCCCCAACCTACAAAAAACCTTTTTAAACTTGTACGCACTGTCAAGCATTTTGTAGGTGGAGTTCCATCTTGTAGGAACATCATATGGAACATTCACAACATCTATTAGAATTCAAACTGAAACTGAAAAAGTTAACCTCAGAGTCATGGAAAATGCGGTTCAAGGATTCACCATGAATCCCATAGGCTAGGGCTGCATACACCCGAACAGCCCTTACTTTGACAGTTCAAGAAGTTTTTTCTTGATCCAACTCATTTATTAAAGACCACATGCCAACCATTTTGAGCAATAAACTGTTTAGAAATGAACTCAGGGAGGGGATAGTAAAAAGTGATGGGTAACATGGGTATTTATAGGAAACTCACATTGTCTATTCACCATACAAAAAGATATTCATTGTATTAATTTTCTCGGAAAAAGGGTCAAATACACCCTCCTACTATATCAAAAACATTAGTACACCCCTCCTACTAAAAAAAGTATCATATTAATGCATTTACTATTAAACAAGCATCAATTGAATCCAAGTTACCTGTTACAACTCCCTATAACCGGTCATTAGTTGATTTGATATATGTTTCTATTTCTGATTTCCCCCCCATTTTTCTGTTCTTTCGTGTCTTGCACAATACTCCGTATAAACTACGAGTATGTTATACGTAGTTCCCAAATCCCAACCTCTCGTTCTAGCCGGCTTTCATTTTCTGGTCCTTTTTTTTTTCACCACAATGTGCAAAATTCACTTCCTTTTTTCAATAAGTCTTGGTATACATCCTGGGTTACACCCTGGGCTACACCATATATAAGGCCTTTTTTAGCCCATCCCCCATACCTTTCTACTGCTTCACTCCCTGCTTTCTTTCTTTACCCGCACAGCTCAAAAACTCAAATATCGAACGCCTCTTCCCCGTATCCCCAACCGTTCCCGCGTCGCCTTCCTCACTTCGCACAACACTTGCTCCGGCCAATATCCCACTCCTCTATGTTTCCCTCATCTCTCGAACCCACGATGACCTCCATCTCTGTCAGCGCTCCACTCTCCAAGCACAAGAAATGACGAGCGGCCTCCATCTCTGTCCTCGGTCCGTCTTCAAACGTTGTGGGAGCTTGCCTCTCTGAAACCCACTGCGGCAAATATGGTGCGAACCAACCTCTCTGAAATGGCCGAGCGGTATGTACTTCAGAAAAATATTGTTTTTTTTTTGTTTTACTACCTCCGTTCCTAAAAATTCTTCCCGGTTTGACTTGGCACGCTTATTAAGAGAGTGGAATCAAGTGGAAATGTATGGTTGTGGTTGTGTAAGAAAAAGGTAAAATGAATGTGAGCCACACAAATTGTCCAAAATGGGAAAGTGAGAAGTATTTTTGAGAACAGCCCAAAAAGGAAAGTGGGAAGTATTTTTGGGAACGGAGGGAGTACCTTTTATATTTGACTTGAATATAGTGATACATATGTTTACCGTTTCTTCAATGTCATTTTGTTGTGTTTTGAAATTGGTTGTATGTGTCTTCTAATTGCACAGACATATTACATACTCAGTGTCGCTGTGTACCGACAACTAATGTCATTGTGTACAGAGTAGTGTCGGTATGTATAGAAAACTGAATTCTTTATATTTTCGCTTCTGTTTTCGGTTCCCAATTCAAGGTTACGACGGTCGAAGGTGGTGTACCCACTCATACGATTGCGAGGGTCGACGGTCTAAGGTTGGCGAGGTTGCGACAGTCAAAGCACAACGAGTTTCAGAAATGGTGCAGACAAAACTTTCTGAGCTCAACGAACGGTAAGCCTCGATTTTTCCCATTTGTAATTTGATTTCTTGAAGAAGATGGTTTAAAGAATGTTAAGTTTGTCGTGTTTTATGGTCCAATGATGTTCCGACATTTGATGGTCGAGATGATTACAGCTTTGAAGGGGAAGGAAATAACAGGGGGGCAGACGACCACATATGTTGGAGGTATATTTTTTGACATACATAGACAACTTACATACTCAGTGTCGGTGTGTACCGACAACTAATGTCGTTGTTTACAGAGTAGTGTCGGTATGTATAGACAACTGAAGAAATCTTCACTTTTTACGTGTTACAGATAGATTATGAAATGCACAGACAAAAGCTGTCGGTGTAGTTCAATTTATGCTTGGGACCATCTGCCACAAAAACATACCTTACCGACACTTTTTACATTCACAGACAAAAGGTGTTGGTATAGTTCATTTAATGCATGGGATCTTCTGCCACGAAAACAGACTGTACCGACACTTTGTACGTTTCACAGACAAAAGGTGTTGGTGTAGACAAACATATTTACAAGTGAAAATGAGCAATAAATGTCCCCGGTTTTCTTCTTCAAACGCTTAAGTTGTATAGCAAACTGACATCTAACGTTCCACATGTTGTCGTACACAGACAATATGACAACAAAGAGATAATATCATACAACTATGTGGGATTAATTATATGATGTAGGCATAGTAGTTAAATTACTGCATACAAATCTTAATATCCGAATTTTACAATATTCAAAGGCCTTATACAAAATTCTACTCGGGCCAAAAAACTGTTAGGATCGGTCCTACACAGAAAGTAATATGAACGTCACAGATAACTCATATGAAACTCACAGATAACTCTAACTCCAACCATGTTGGCAAACTAACACTTACAAATCAAATGGTTTCATCAATCTCCCACATTTGTATATAACTCACACAAAAAAGCACTTCAAAATATACACAAACAAACACCAACAATTCCATATCATAAATAACAATATGAATGACACAAACACACCAAATGGCTTCAACAACCTGTCACTTTTGTATATAACTAACATAAAAAACTCATAGGTAGTTCACCAATCTTACGTAACAACATTCATAGATACATTAACTCATTTTTTTTAACCCGGAAGGCAAACCACCAAAATCAGTAGCGTATATGCCGGGAGTCATATACCAGAATTTTATAAATGAAACAGAAATACAAATGGAAGGGGACTAGGCAAAAACTTCCTAACTGAAAAAACTTGTCTAAAAACGAAAAGAAGGAATTCCAAAAAAATCCATCCAATAGGCCCGTTTTGCATGGACCGGAAGTAAGTTGGGCCTGTCATAAAATTTAATCTGATCGAAATGGGCAGCAGCAATGTGGTGGGCGGCCCAATTACTTTTCCTGAAGGCGTGGGAGAAACCAACCTATTTCCTATTCACCCTGTGCACGGTTTCCTGAATCTCCTTCTTCCATCTCCTCGTCTCCCTACCCGAAATATACTCCAGAGCAACCTTACAATCAGATTCAACAATGAAATCCGAAAATCCCCTGTGTATCATCCACTGCGTAGCTAGAACGATAGCCCTGAGTTCAGCCTCTAATGACGAGTTCGCACTGATAGGGAATCCCACAGCTAGGATCATCGCGCCGTTCTCATCTCGTAAAATGGCCCCTCCGTGGGCTTTATCAGATAAGTAGCTAGCATCCACATTAAGTTTCTTCCTTCGATGTTTCTTCCATTTCAAAACCTGTATATTATTCCGATTAAGCTTGAAATTTCTAGGGATAATGTGCTCATCGAGTAAAATACTCTCAACCTTCCGAATCTTTTTCTTTGGTAAAATTTGAACCCAACTGTGTATGTATAACTTGATTTGATAGATAATATGTTCTGATGTGTGTCCGGCATCTCCTGAGCCCCAAATCAAATTTGAGTAAGTTTTCCACAGAAACCAACATATAATACCAAAGATGTTTTGTGCAATAACACCAACCAGACTTGTAGTACTTGATTTAGGCCTCCAATATTTAAAGGAAATGTATTCCTGCCCAGTAGGAATATAAATTCCCAGAGTAGCAATAAAATATTGCCAAACCCCTTTAGCCATAATGCATTGGAAGAAAAGATGGTTCAGGGAGTCACTTTGTCTTCTGCAGAGAGGACAAATAGAAGGTTTCAAAACCATATTGAACCTCCCTAGAGTGTCTGCAGTAGGGATTATGCCCTTGACTATCTTCCATTGAATTAGTTTAATTTTCATCTCCTGTTTATTATCCCAAATGTGTTGATAGATAGAATGATTGAATGCTAATTCTCTTACCTCTTCAAAAGCAGATTTGAAAGAAAATTGACCATCCTGCTCTTCATCCCAGGTTAAGCAACCATTGTCATCACAGGATACCAGTGTTGAGGCCAGATCATGAGCACTGCATATCCTTCTCCAAATATTGGAATCAGTCACCTTAGGTACCATATTATCTCCTCTACTGTATTTTGATTTGATAAAATTGGCCCAAAAACTATCTCCTGTCTTTCATTTCCACCACAGCTTAAGAGTGAATGCCTTCTCAATGTCTGTGAGTGATCTAATCCCCAGACCTCCTTCCAAAGTTGGTAAACATAGTTTTGACCACCTAATTCAGTGGTGCTTATCCTTGTTATTAGAAGATCCCCAAAAGAAAGAAGACATTTTACCATTGAGGATCTTAATAACCTTCTTAGGAATTCTGTCAACCGCCAATGTATGCATAGGAATAGAATTAAGAACATATTTAATGAGAGTTAGTCTTCCACCTTGAGAAAGGTTCTTCTGCTTCCAAGGGGTTAATCTATTCTCAAACTGTTTGATAATATGCCCACAATAGTTAAGTCTATTAATGCCTTTATGCAGATTCACCCCTAGGTATTTAATAGGAAGGGGAGAGACCTTCATCCCCAAGATACATTAACTCATTCATACATACAATATTCATTTTTGTAGGTATACATTAACTCAATGAGGATTTCTTCAGTCGTCTATACATACCGACGCTACTCTGTACACAGTGATATTAGTTGTAGATATCAACAGACACTGAGTATGTAAGCTGTTTTTGTGTGTGGAAGAAATACCTCATTGAGTTATAGGTATACAACATTATAGTGGTAGGGTATATATTAACAACATTCATAGATACATTAACTCATTCATACATACAACATTCATTTTTTTAGGTACACATTAATTCAATGAGGATTTCTTCAATGTGGG